TTTTAATTAGCTTCTTTACTTAGTCACCTTTGTAATAATTAACTTATTTATTGTCATAATCTTTAACTTTATTTATTAATTCTTTTTTAAATGTATTTATTTGTGTGTGTGTTTTAATATTTTTGTCTGTTTTATTCTTCCGTTGCATTTTCTACCCTATTTATTTTCACCCATGGTATTTATTTCTGCCTGTCCTTTTTACATTTCTCTATGCATTTCTGCCTCATTATGCAAATGAGGAGGGGCTGCATCTCAAGGGGTCAACTTCTCTCCCATTGGTGGACCAGCCAGATGGGAGAGCTCTAGGCCTACTCTACCTGCACACATCAACAAGCTTGCTCCTCATACAGTCAAATGGCTTCCTTCAGTGCACTGCGGCTTTTAGCAACTCTATTTGAAGACAATACTACCAGCCATGTCTTCCTTCCCTTTTTGTGTGGACACTCTGACAAAGTGTTTTCAGTTTGCTGTATGCATGGACACAGAACTGTGATATAGGGAGGATCACACAGTCAGCTAGCTGCAGCTAAATATGGAGTGCACTCGTATTCAATTCTGTATGGTAAATTCAGTTTTAAAGCTGACAGGCAGAGTTAGAGACTTTTTTTCTGTCCGTTTCTCTCTTTACAAGACACATGTTGCAGTCTGAGAGTCTTATCTGAAGAGGGCAATGAAGTCTCAATAGTACACGATGCGAGCACCACATACAACATAATTTATACAGATGATATACAGTATGAAAATAAGATTAATTGGATTATACTCACAGGAAGTATAAAACCTGTTACATGTGTCTATTAAAAGTAAAATAACACAAAAATGTCAGGGAAATTACTTTACTTAGATTTAAGTGCTGCAGTTGTACATTGAAATACCGTCCTACATTTCTTATTTGGAAGTCTTCTTAAGGTCAGTATAAAATGTTTTTCCTTAAATTCTGATTTGAGTTGTGGACAACTATGACCACATGAGTTAAAAAATGAAACATTTCACTGCCCAAGCTATAACACAAAGCTTGTTCATTAGGCTACATGCTGTACAGTATTTGTGGACAGATTTTGTCCCAGGATTTATTATGCATTTCTTCTTCATTGCATGATTTAGAATAATAAGTTGAGAAATGGGTTTTTAGTTCATCCTGCACTACAGCAGCTAATAAAGCCGAATTAATCCCCAAAATACTTTTCTTTTAGGCAGGCTGGAGCGGAAAACGACTTACCTTTCTCAAGTTGTACAGTAATGTCACATATGTGTATGAAGGTGGATCAAACACAGCTAATCTTAAATGTCAAAGTAGAGAGGAGCATAGTAGGTCTATTTATTTTCATTCATTACACAAGATGAATTTAGCTATGCAGACAGTTGTAAAAAAAATCTTGAATGTTCTCCACTTGTTATAATTACACAGTAAAATTAGGAATGCGGCTGTATTAAAAGTATCCACTGTTCTCCCATGCTCTAACACACAGTAATGATGAGATGTGTGCTGTGTCCCATTCTTACTCTGTATCTACACATAAACAACTAGGCATGTAAGGGGGAATATAAAGGAATTCATTTTATTATTTGGGGATTATTTTCTTTGTTGCTCTCCTTCTCCTCCTTCCTTTCCTGTGACGAATTTGGTTATGTTCTCTGCATGCCTCCTCCTGTCTTCTGTGCAAGACATAGAAGTACAGAAACTAGCCTTCAGTAAATGATTTCGACTGGTTAAGTGCAGTAAAGTTAACTTTAAATTGACTCCACCGCCACACATTAAACACGGCTTAATAGCAATCACATTTAACAGAAGAATAAAATTCTTCTTAATGGTAACTGTCAAGATTAGTTTACTTCTTAGTCACCACCACTAGCTTAAGAGCTTTAGCCTATATGATATTAACACTACATAAATTAGCGTAGCGGCTAATGGACTTTTACTCTCCTCATAGCTTAACAAATTACATGTATTATTCACAAAATTGTTTTACTCACCGCTGGTTAAGTCACTGCATCTCCCGACACAACACCACGGTTGAATTTTCATCCTGAATTGTGTTTTCATTGAAACAGCAGAGCAACGAACTGCTCCATGTGGGAGCATTTACCGTAAATACTTGAATAGGAGTGCACTCCAGATTTAGCTGCGGCTAACTGACCATGTGGCTCTCAGAAACAACAGCTCACTTTCCTGCAGTTCTGTGTCCGTATAAGTCGTTAATTGAAAACTCTGTAGGTCAGAGTGTCCACATGAAAAGAAGGAAGACATGGCTGGTAGTATTGTCTTCAAATAGAGTAGCTAAACACCTCAGCGCACTGAAGGAAGCCATCTGACTGTGTGGGGAGCAAGCTTGTTGATGTGTGCAGGTAGAGTAGGCCTAGAGCTCGCCCATCTGACTTGTCCACCAATAGGCGAGAAGTTGACCCCTTGAGACACAGCCCCTCCTCATTTGCATAATGAGGCAGAAATGCATAGAGAAATGTAAAAAGGACAGGCAGAAATAAATACCATGGGTGAAAATAAATAGGGTAGAAAATGCAACAGAAGAATAAAACAGACAAAAATATTAAAACACACATAAATAAATACATTTAAAAAAGAAGTCATTAATAAATAAAGTTGAAGATTATAACGGACAATAAATAAATAAGTTAATTATTACAAAAGGTGACTAAGTAAAGAAGCTAATTAAAATAGATATATACATTTGTCTCCTTGTATAATTTAATTACTGCCTACATTTATTTATTTACTGTCTTTTTTTGTGCATTTAATCGAATGCTTATTTATTTATTGAGCATTTATTTATTTATGTAGGCTATTTATTTCTGAATTTGTCAGGATCAGTCCTCCATACGCATGAGCATGACAACAGGTCAGTTACCATACCTTAGATTTGGAGTAGGCACTGTCGCCCCAAAGCACTACCCCTGCAGATCCTAAAGCAGCGCTCTCTCCTATGGTGTAAACCAGGTGCTCCTGCAGGCGTAAAACCCCCCACAAGAGGTAAGCAGAGTATTCAGACCAGATCGTGACAATCCCAAAAAGGTGCATGGAGTTAAAACATCTGCTACTTGCCTGAGAGAGGAAATCTAATGAGTAAGTGTAGACGATGCGAGAGTACGGGAACACGGGCGGCGTGGATGGGGTCTGCTGAGCCCCTGCTCTCATGGCCTCCAGGATGCGGTGGTGAGTGTAGAGGAGCACTTCTTTGCCGAGGTTGCGCAGGTCGAGGCTGAGGTAGATGTCAGGATAAAGAGCAGAGGAAACGTTCCACAACCACCACAGCTGGTTGTTCCTTGTTTTCTCTATAGCCGGACAATCCCCTGTGTAGTTTGTGCTCTTGTTGCTGTAGTAATTGTAGCAATTGGGAAAACCATAATAACCCCACAACCCTTCTGGTCTTTCCTTCTGCCCCAGTTTCAGCGTCCCCTCCATGAAGCTCCTCCCAGCTGTCTCAAACTCCGCCCGTGCAGCAGCCTCTACCTGCGCAGGGCTCCAGTCTGGATGCCTGGACCTCACTAGCGCTCTTGAGCCTTCCCAGTATACCTTCTTACTCTCCCAGTTTCTGATCCATACAGGTCTCCAGCTCTCCCAGTCCACCACAGCCAGGCCCTGGAAATATTTGTCAGGAATACAAGTGCGGATATCTTTAGTGGCAACTCTGAGGTGTTCCTCCAGACTGGCGTTCTGCGGCACCCCGCCATTGACAGCCTCTCCTTGGCTGGAGTACCTGGGATACAGGCCGAGCTTTTCAGAGTAAAAGATGGTTATGTTTTCACCCATAAAGGTTTGGTTCTGGTTATGGACGATGTTGAACATGCCCAAGTCGAGGTCCACGCCATATTGAGAGAGACAGCTGGCGGTGGGGGCGTTCCAGACGGTGAGGAATGGCACCTGGGGTAAAGTCGATGGTGCAAACTGCAGCCCTGAAACAAGGCTGATCAGTTTCAAGAAAAGCAGCGCCTCAGCAGGAAAGGAACTCATCCCTGAAAGGAAGGAAACGACACCACTGCTAATATCACGTAAGTATTGTTGCGAACATTTTGGAGGATGTTGCAACATTGTTATATTCACAGAAAGGCTGTTTTTAATTTGTCCGGAACTGAAATCTCAAAGATCAAAATTCGAAGCAAATAAAGTTTTTTCGATTTTCAGAATCTGTGAAAGGCAGCAAGAATTTTCAGCTTTTGATTAAACATGTGCTTTTCTTTGTCTATTAAATTGTTTTACACAAACACACATTCCTGTAGCTATATGGGACGTAAATGATAGGCTATAGTGTGAAATAAAGACAAAATACGTTTTAGACAAAAGTACAAACAATGACTTACCTTTTTAACAACTGGATAGGGACTTTTGTTTGTACTTTGAGTTCTGGACGTACAGGGAAAACGCAACCAGCGGTCTCATGATCTGAATCAGACATTCACCAGAACTAAAACAGATGTGCGCTCTAGGGTATGTAATAACCAATCAGAAGTGTGCAAAAGGTTTTTAACAACCAATCAGAAGTGCACAAAGAATCTCTAACAACTAATCATAAGACAGGAGGAGCAGGGCGGGTTTGAAGTCATAGAGACAAGTAAAAATATCTTCCATCAGTCTATCCTGATCAGCTTTCGTTTGAAAAACTCAATAAAACATGTAAATATAACTGAAAAACTGTTTACTGAAGAGACTTGACTTACATAAGTAATAGTTCTACTCTAAGCAAGCCATAATGAACTCTTCATCCTCCAATTTTAAATATATGCCTTGCTCAACTCTTAAAAGCAGTATAAATAACCATTGGCTTAACAGCACCCTACAATTACATGGGGAGGGGGTATGAGGCAGCAGCCTGCTAAATGTGGACATGAGGACTAGCTGGCTTTGCCAATGATAACATGTTTTCCCCAGAAATCTAACTTTTATTGACTGAAAACAACAAATCCATACCTGTATGACCTGAAAACCAGCGTACACTTTGTTATCCCTCTTCATTGTGTTCTGTAAATCTTAAAAGAAACTAGGCAAGGACCTCAACAAAGAAATTTATTTACTTCAACAAAAGTCTAATTTGATAAAACAGCATGAAGAGAGGAGGCCATGTCAGAGAAATTGGTTTTATATCATTTGTGCTTCTGATGTAAAATAACTGCTGAAATACAGAAAAGGGTAAATCGAGTTATATAGTGTTTTAAAGAGGAAACTATAGTAGTCATGTTTTGGACATAAAAATTAGACAAGATAATATAAAACACCTAAAAATACATTCAAATAAATATTAACACTGTAATTGCCTCCATAAAAACATCAGATGTCAGAGAGAGGTTGAAAAAAGATCAGGCACTTGAAATATATTGTTCTGTTCTCAGATTTAAGTGCATCAATTCCACTTTCACCACGCATCAACTCATTCATCACATTACCCCCAAAAAACTTTCTCTCTGTGAGAAACATGGAATTTGACACTTTTGGAAACAATGACTGAGAGGAAACTGAGAGCAAAATGTAAACAAGGTCATTTCCAGCGAGCCCTCCGTGGTTTAAAAAAGATTAAAAGTTATAAACAAATATAACTTGCAATTTCCACAGTGTTTCTTAAAATTAACTTTGTATCATCCATGTTTTAAAAAAAAAAAAAGGAAAAATATGACACTCCACACTCCTTAAAGCAACATTATGTAGTAATTTTATCTTAAAAAAAAACAGCTTTAAAATAATTTTGATGGTACACTGACATTTAATAGGGAGAATGGCATCTCTACTACATAACAGTGTAGTCCCAGGAAGGAAACCTATCGCAACAACAGCGTAATGTTGTAAGGCACCACATCACACCAACGAAACTCTTCAGCAAGTGAGCAATAGGAAGAAGCTAGCTCGGTATTCTCAGTATGGATATCATGGCAGAGGCTGCGAGGAGACCCAAGAAGACGTGAAGAAGAGAAACCAGGTGCTGAAAGGATACAAGACCGATGACGAGCTGGCCTTGTAGCTGTTGGACTAGTACGAAATAATTCGACAGCTGACTTTGACAGCGGAAGAAAGAAAAAAGTGTGACCATGCAAGAAGCTCCCAGCATTGGCGAGAGCTTTGGGAAATAAAACACTGCAAGATAGATGCAGAGCGGGCGATCTTTCTGTTGGACTATTAAGTAATATTGTGATGTCTTGTGTTGTGGCACTTGCTTGATGTTTGGCTGTATTATCAAAGTTGTTGCTAGTTTCTGATCGTAAGTAATGTAATTATAACAAAGGCACGTGTACAGCTGTCCTTCTTTGCGAAGGTGAATTACAGTCTAAAACAGTAGGGGCACCAAATCGCGCACACACAAAAAAATCTTACATAATGTTGCTTTAAAATTCTAAACTTGTCAGCTGGTGTGCTCTATATTTAGACATAAAATGCTGCTATGTCTACAGTATTTACGGTGTATTAACAGAGGAGTAGAGAGATAATCAGTAAGATCACACATTGCAGTGCTGATGCCAGTGTTTGAGATGCTGTCCCTCTTTGGTGCAGAGGGTCTGACTGCTCGCAGACCTCTCCCTGATAGCCACTGTAGCACTGGCACTGAAACTCTGTCTGAAAACTTCTCTTCTCTGCTTCGCCAAGCTCACCGGTGACGGTCGGCTTGCCACTCTGCTCGATGATGTGGTGGTGGAGGGGGTTCAGATGCAAGTAAACGTCGCTGTCCGGATTTTTGCGCAGACAGCGGCCTCGAGAAGCACACAAGGTCTGGCTGCATAGCTCTGCTGCCGTGGAGACGTTGAGGAGGTATTGACCCAGTGGACCTCGCAAATACACATCCAAGTTTGAGCAGCTGTTCTGGAGAGAAAAAAATAAACACACAGCCATCACTCACCTACGTCAGGATTCACAAGAAGTCTAGTCTGCACTGTGGGACACCAAAACCTGCCCACATTTTAAATCACATTAATCATAAGTGTGAGGTTTAGGGTTGGTGGAGAAGTATTCAGATCCGTCCCTCAGGTGAAAGTAGTGGGCCTGATCCCACTATATAAACATACTCTTTTAAAAGTACATTTTACTACATTCAAAAATTTTAAGTAAAAGCCACTGCTCAAAATGATGTCATTATGTATGTGGTTATATATATATAATATATATATATATATATATATATATATATATATATATATATATATATATATATATATATAAATATATATATATATATATATATATATATATATATATATATATAAATAAAATTGGATCAATGTGTAGAATTTTAATGTTGTGAGAGGCTGACTGGAGTTTTAACCATTTTATGTAATGCTAAAACTTATACTGTTAAGTTTATTCTGTAACAATTCATCACATCAATGGTATAGGCCTATGGTATGAACATTACTTCAGTAAATGTAGGTATATTTCACCACTAGTAATATTAAGCCCTTATTAATAAATATTCTGTTATGATGGGGCATGCTATTCTAATCTATTATCCAATTGTTGTGAGTTGTTGCAGGACACGCCGGTGAAAACGAGGAGGAGGAGTTTGCAGAAAACTGCTAGCAATGCTTTCTTTCCTAATGCTACTCCAACACAACAAATTCCTCTCTCCAACTCTGACTCACGTTTCCTCAACATCTCGCTTCTCATGAGATTTCAGAGCAAGAACTGTCCTTCAGCGAGACTTCAGTTTCAGGTTAAAAACAAGGGATGTCACTCGTAGGGATCCTTTCCATTTTCTCAGCATTTTGTGGACGAAAGATTGATGGGTGCAAATGCTCCGAAGGAATGTGTTGCTTCCGGCTCCCAGCTGAAGCTACTGCACAAATTTCAAAATCTTTTGTACCTTCTAGTAATTTTTACTCCAAAATATATGAAAATAGGGCTCAGGGTTAAAGATACAGAAATTACCCTTTAAGTGGAATAAAGATATTTTTGCCCTCTGACTGACTGTCTATCTTGCACATGTTTAAGCTTTTATCTGAAATGCCCAAAATATGATCAGAGTACCTCGCAGCCTAAAAGTAACTGGGAAATAAAACACTTCCAACAAAAATATCCTGTGTATCTGAAGATGTCCACGTCATGCAAGCCACTAACTTTCAACTGGAGCCCTGAGGAATAACCGTTACAATGACTGCACACATACAGACAAGAGCAGCAGGTCAAAACTCACCAGATGTTAATGTTCATGGTCAAACATGTAAGTTGAGTCTGAGTGATTAATGTATTTATTTCATAATTAGTGTGTGGGAGCTTACTTTGCTGCTTGCGTACGCTGCATCTCCCCACATGATGATTCCAGCTGCGCCTAAAGCCACACTCTCCCCGATGGTGGAGATGAGGTCAGTCTGTAAAAGATGATACAGCACTTTAACATTTTACATTTCTAAAGACTACGGGCCAAACACAGGAAGAATTCACTGCTGAGTATCACTATAATGGGGCCAAAATGTTAGTAGGGCATAAGCTACCATGTGAAGTTCAGCTCTTATCTGTTCATTCTCCCATAAGGAAACGGTCTATAGGGTGTTAGCGAGATTTTCAGCTTGAACAACACCCATCCTGCTCCCTCCACACAAATGAGAGGTATTGGGGTGTCTGTGTGCTGCCAGAACAGGAAAGGTCTGTGGCTGCCGATAAGGAAAAGCAGAGCTGTAGCTCCATGCAGCATGCAGGGATCAGAGAGGGAGAGAGAAGGGTTAATCTTGGAACAAAAAAAGTGCATATTCTCTGCTTCCAAAAAGGATATGATACCGGACCAACACGGCACAGCACACATTAGTCATTTTAAATTTCGCATGAACAGTGAAGAATAAGTAGGAAAGTTTCAGGAAGAGACACCAAATTCAGGACTGGCAGGGTTTCTAAAGTTAGAGCGTCACCTCTGTCAGCTGTTCCAGGGAGTTGGCATAGGTGGGCCTGGTGTACACAAAGACAGGACGTGCCAACCCATCGCCTGATGATGCCAAACGCATCCCCTCCTTCACTCGGTTCCGCACAAACTGCCGTCCGGAGGCTGAGGAACGCAGCACGGTGCCCATGTAGATGGAGGGGAAGAGGGCCGTGCTCTCAGTCCACAACCACTTCAGCTGCTCGTTGCGGGCTACCTCTACGTCAGGACAGCGGCCTGTGTAGTTCTCCAGAGTGCGCCTGTAGTCATGATTGTAGCAGTCTGGGAACAGGTAGAAACCCCACAGCTGGTTGGGCCTCAGGTTCTTGGCAAGCTTCAGCGTCTCCAGCATGAACTTCCTGGCAGATATCTCAAACTCCTGCTGGGCCACTTTTGCCACCTGCTCTGGAGGCCATGTTGGGTTCTTCTGACGCACCAACTCACGAGAATGTCTGCGGTAAACATCTTTGGTTTCCCAGTTACGTATCCAGAGTGGACGCCACTCCTCCCAGTCAATAATTGCCAGACCCGTGGCCCCTGGTTCCCGAATATACTTCTGCACACCTCCTGGCATCTTCTCTAGGTGCTGTGTAAGACTGGCCACCTGTGGCAGCCCCCCATTCACCGGCGTCCCATCTGGCTCAAAAAACGGGTACAAGCCCAAGCGGTCCTTATAGAAGATGGTGAGGTTCTGTCTAACAAAGCCCTCATTGGGTGAGGCCACAATCTGGAAAAGGTCCAGCTGAAAGCGAATACCATGCCGCGGGGCACAGTCCTCAGTTGGGGCATTCCAAGCCAGGAGCAGAGGCTTTTGGGAATACAGTGGCCGTCTCGTGGGTTTTAGTCCCAAAGCACAGAGGGTGTCCCACAGCAGCACAATCAGCAGCACTACTTTCCAGTCAGGCAGAGTCCAGAACAACATGTCTTCAGATGTGAATTGACAGATGGGACTGTCACTCTCTGCTCTACAAGTCACAGACGGAGACTTAATTATAGTTTTTTAGTTTACTTTTCAAATAAGTGGCAAACCCCAGTGCATCCATTCATCAAGGTATATCTTCAAAAACCATGTCTTTTTATAGAATGTTAGAAACCTAACGCTTTAAATTTGTGTAGTTTTGCTTTAGTTTTGTGCACTATATAGATATAATCACTATTAAAATCACAAACTAAGAAGTTGCATATAAATTTTAGATGTTTTTTGTCTTTACTGAAAGCATCTGAGTTATGTGTACAGAAACCTTCAGTTATGTTTTCAAACTGACAGAAAGTCACTGCTACTCTCTGCTGTAGGCTATAATTCACAGGGAGGGAAGTGAAATTTACTTTTCTAATAAATGATAATTCACAGACACACACACACACATACATACATACATACATATACACACACGCCTACTTTTAAATGCTGAGCCTTATAATATTCTACAGTAGCAGTTTGTTTGCACTATTGCAGATAATCGTTGCTAAAAACACAGCCTATATCAATAATGACCTAAATAAATCTTGTTTGGCCTATATGTCAAATAAACCATAGTTAGGCTGTATATGTATATGAATATTGCTCTGCCAAGTCGGCTTCAACATCTACCCCCTTCTCTTAAAGTTAACATAAACTTACTTAACTTAAATTACAGTTTGGGTGTTGTTTTTTAGCAATGAATGAGCAAAACGTAAAGTCAACAGCAAAGTTAATTCACATGAGTCTCAGTGCAGCTGGACAAACGTACCTTTACTGGCAGACACAGGAAGCATTCCCGAAAACCAGAAGCCGAGTTTTTGAGTCGCCTCAAAACAAATTGGGAAAAATCAAAATGAACATTGCATTTCAGTAAGAAGATGACGACGGAGTGAATTTACAAAAACATGCAAGTAGGCTATCTTCTAACCTCCGGTGTCGGTCTGCCTGCCGTCGGTAAAGTGAAGAGAAGCGAAGTTGCCCCCCTGCGATGTTGTCAGTTGCTGCTCTCCTGCTCTGAGAGCCGAACCACTTTCAGGATGTTCCATTCAGTTTGGGAAAAGGGGGGGGAGTGGCGAAATAAACCGGACATCCAAATGGACTCCGTCAGCGAGTCGAAGGTGTTAGAGCGACGTGTGTCTTCACCTCAAACCAACACATAACTCCAGGTGTAAGTTGAATGAACCTAAGCGTTGAATGAACCTAAGCTTTGATTGGATCTTTTTTTGCAAAGCTATTAATCACAGCGCAGGAATGAATCAGTCCAAGAAGTTTGCCACCATGGCTGTGAAACAGATACACTGTAAGTAACCAGCAATGTCAAGACTCAGAGGTCATAGCAGGGCAGTGTGCCACATCCCTAAAATAAGATCATGCCCACAAATGACCAGTGTTAGGGTAACCTTTCAGCTACATCAGGCTACATATAGCTTATAAAAACTTGTAGAAAAGATGTATGTATGTTGGTCCTTAAAACACCTGAAAACGTACTTCACATATTTCTCTCTAATGAAACAAACAAAAACAAAACTACAAAAATATTCAAATACTATCAAATATAGAACCCTCCCAAAAAAGCCTAAAACACATCCAACACTAATCTTTGACTAACAGATGCAAAATTACCAATCTGTCATAAGATTTAGATTTAGCCTACATATTGTAAAATTCTCATTAGTAGGTGGAAATAGTCTTTTTCTAGCACAACCAGTAAAAAGAACATAGACCAATAAAAGGCAAATACATTTTAATATGTTTTCATGTGTAAGCAGGGTGTGTTCATGGAGGACCCAATTTCTTTTTATAAAAGTGATCGTGTTTAAACCTGGTCCTAAAACTCCTGATGTTCCCCATTCAAAATATATTTTATACAGCAGAAATGTTTTGATGCATTAACATGTGAATAACATTGTATCTCATTTTCACTACTTTATACTGTTTGGTTGTTTACATTGTTAACATTAAAATACTGCTTACACATATTACATCAGTCACTTGAACATGTGAGTCCTTTCACTCAAAAGTAAATGGAGACTGGTTTTGTTACTTTAAGTACTTTTACATTGTCGATTTGCTACTTGAGTGAAGGATTTTAATGTTTTTTCCACTAATGCTCTGAGCACACTTCAGACGGTGGGCACAAGGCATCTGGCATGCAGATGTCACCGCTGCCTGAGGCATGTGATGACAGCCATTGGCAACGGCTCAGTGAAGTAACCAAGTACCACATACCGTCATGTTGCCAAGTACAGCAGATAGGATGGTGCAGAGGGGGTTTAGGCACGAGGGGCAGTGGCCATGAGAGAAGAGGGCAGAGGCCACGCACTGACACATAATTAACCAAATTTAACAGCCTGTTTTATACTCTAGAGAACTGTATAAAAGCTGTCAGAAGTAATGGCTGTTGAAGAAAGGTGTTCATCTGAAAGTCAAGCCTTTTTCTTTGCAGAAGCATGTGAGCTGAGGGATGCCTGGGCACATGATCGAGGTGAGGCGAGGTCCTGGAAGTGTCATGCTTTCCTGTGTCACAGTCCGTTCCGCTGCTTGTTTTCCGAACTTTGCTGACTCACCTCACCATGTAATCAGTGTCTCTTTTTCTCTCTTTCTCTATCTCGCCCTCTGTCTCTGTGTGAATGAAGAGGGAGAGGAAGGAACAAAGGAATGGCTTGGTTTCTCTCAAGCTTCACTTTGACCTTTGCCTCCTGAACATTACATCAGCAGAAGTCAGGGACCATCAGGAAGCGAAAACAATGGCAAGGAAACTGGAAACACCCCTGGCCACCTTCACTTTGTCCCAAACATATTAATGCATTGCGATACATTTGGAGGACAGAGGAAATTTCATTGGAGCAACTGGACCTTGAAGTTGAAAGTTTACTACCTCATTTGCCCTGATTCTATGGATCAAAACACCCAATTTATATATGAATAAGTTTAAATATGGTAGCTAAAATGGGCTATGAGACCCCAAAATAGATACTGGTAAACATATTTCCCTGCTGCAGTTCACAGCTATAACTACTATCATTATGGTTTTATGTATCGATAAGCTACACAGGACGCTACCATCAGTTTTCCTAGAGTGTAATTTGTTTTCTTTCAGTCACATTCACTATTTATGATTACTATACTTAAGTAATCCAACTGTGCATTCAGATTAAACAGACTACAGGGAGCCACATGGACAACTTTACTCTTTTAGAAATACTTGTACACATCGCAGAACACAGCATCATATTCATGAAGATCATTATTTTTTTTTTTATGGCTTTAAGAGAAAGGGTTCATCCTTACAGGCTGGACTTTCAGCAAAACATCAAAGACCAGTGGAGAGGAAACACATCAAAGTGACTGACCTCTGGCCCCAAAAACACTCCCAACCACATTCCACTCAATTACAGACACCAGAGAATGGCCGCAAAGGAAGCCCTGCCCATGTATTATGGTGATTTGTCTACTATGCACACTGAAATGTGTTTACATTGCCATTAAATTTTGATATTGTGCCAGCTGGCTACACCGGCTTTAACTGGTCATGATTTTGAGCCTTTGAGTGTTTACCTCACACAACATTTAATTACATCCGCAGCCTTGTCGGAAAGTCTAACTGCGCAGGAATAGACCTTAGAGGTAAGAGAGTAAACATGTATGATGCAAAATCCAAAGAACCCACCACTTTCACAGTACCTCATTAAAGTTAACTAGGTGTTAACAGGTGTAGCTTTCTGCTGCTATCTAGAGGTGGAAAACCTTACATGTTATGGAAGTGTGTAAATTTTTTGCATTTCATAATAATGTCAGCAGTAGGCTTTAGTGGCTTTAGTTGCAGCCAGCAGCTCTCAAAGCCAGACTGATATTCAAGAAGGCAATGAGGAAAAGCTAAAAATAAGGTATAGTTCCAGCTGTCATGGAAGTAGAGGAATTGCTGACTACATTTTTAAAAGTGACAACTTCATTAAATGCAATCTGTCCATTCACTTCTAGCAAACTAAAATCATCCTTTTCATTCTAAGTCTGAGATTCTTTTTCCAGGCGAATGGTACTTTAAGGAATAATTTTGACATTTTTGGAAATACATTTATTCGCTTTTTTGTAGAGATTTAAATGTAAAGATTTATACCACTCTCATGTCTGCCTGTGCATTCAATATAAAGCTGGAGCCAACAGCTGGTTAGCTTAGCTTAGCATAAAGACTGTAAACAAGGTGAAACAGCTAGCTTGGCTGCTTTCAAAGGTAACAAAATTCACCTACCAGCAACTCTAAACCTCACAAATTAACACATTATATCTTGTTGTTTAATCCGCACAAAAATTGAAGACAAATGAGAGAGTGGCATCAATCTTCTTTTCTGGAAGAAAGCGAATGTGCTTATTTCCCATGATCATGTTTTGTGCACACAGGTGGTGCTTGGACATAACTCAATGTGAATACGAGACTATTAACATAATAGAACATATAATAAACTCAACATATTCAGCTCAGTAAACCATTTATTCAAGTATTTCCAACTATGAAATCTGAAATTATTTACAGTACAATATGTTCACTAGTGCAGGTCTGAGCTCCGGTAACTGAGACAGACTCAGATGTGACAACACAGAACATGACCATATATACAATAAACTTCACAACCCTTTTTTAAAATTCTACCCTGTAACTACATCTTCAATCCCTCTCACACACATTCTCTCAGACAAACCTAGGTGCACACAAGTACACATACAAAGACACGTACAGTTTCACTCTACGTCTCACAGAAGGCATAAACCATTAAAGCCTTTTCACATCAAGGACGTTTTTCCCTGCAAAAGAAACTCACACGAGAAATACAACTTCATTTGATGTACTCTCTAAGACTGCTTACATATCAGCTGGGTAGTGGAAACACAACCTGTACTTTTGTGAATACCAAAATATGGATTTTTGTGAACAGGACACCCTCTGACCATAGTTGAATTCAAATGTATAACATTTCATTCAATGTATCAGGTTACAATGACAGTTTGAATCTTCCCTTTTCTGCTCCAGACCACAGTTCCTGTCTTGACCGTAATGCTTGGAGACTGGAACAAGACTTTACACCGAGAAGAGTACCTGTGGCTGCACTTCACAGCAGATCAGTCCTGTGTCACTTTTCACACCTCACAGAGGACGATGGGGAAATCTACATGAATACAGGGGTGTTCGAGCTTCACAATTCCCTGAAAGACCAAACAGATGATATTCAAAGTGACAAATCATTCAAAACAACCAGACCAGTGTTGCCAAAATGTGGCTTTAGCTCACCTGTGGAATCAGATTTTTCTGAATCCTCTTCAACTTGGACTTTTTTCTGCCATTTTTGGTCACAACCGTCTCTTCATAGAATTCATGGGCAAGGTCACCGTCCTCGTCATAGTACAAAGAACTGCCAACACAGCAAGTAAACTTCAGTCTAAAACTACATGTCAAGAGAGGAAAACTGCACCAGACCAGAGTTAATTGATATTATATGGCCAGTTTACCAACAACACACAGACACATATATATGACTAAAGTCACTAAATTAAACCAATCCGCCTCTGAAACCCAGTATAATCCACATATCTCACTGTAGACAGTTGGTAATTTGGATCATTCTTCAATAGAAAGTACTAATGAAAGCAAAGACTGTGGATTATTCCGTGTAACCAGAACACTGTCTTTGGAAACACACAGAGCTGCTGTTCCTAACAAATTATATTTTGTTTGGGGTGCTGGTGGCCACTGGCCTGGGCAGGCCTGGGACCTTTGCTGAATGTCATTCTATATCTCTCATTGTACATTCTCTGTCATCTCTCTCTCCCCTTGTTTTGTGTCATCTCTCTACTTTCAGCTATATACTAAAGACATAATATGCCATTACTGTATAACCATGCACCTCCACTGTATTAGGGTGCCAGAAATCCCAAATATGGATGTCTCAATGACTCATCAGATGAAACCAAAACTACCTCCACAAAGAATACTTTGAAGAAAATATGTTGTGACTTGATCAAATCGACCCTTTGTTGTAGGAGACTCGGGTTTGATTCCCACTGTGACACATCCACCAATGTGTCCCTGAGCAAGACACTTAACCTCTAGTTGCTCCAGAGGAGTGCAACCTCTGACATATATAACATTCGTAAGTCGCTTTGGACATAAGCTTCAGCTGAATTAGTAAATGTAATGGAAATGTACCATTTCCCAATCAAGTATTATTTACCTCCTCCTGGTAAAAACAAATGGTGTTGCATTTCTGGAACCTTTTAGCCGGGCCACAGACTGCTCGTTCCCATCACTGGCTGTATCGCCTCCAGCTCCACTGCCTGAAAAAGGCCAGACGCCTTTGGCTTTGGAACCACTTCCTCCCATGCTCAGAGATAAGGCATACTCTCCAGTTAAAGCTTTCAATCTTGTTGGTGGCCAGACGCTCTCAATTCTTTACCCAAGACAGGATCTGAAAAGTAAAAGTGCACTAAGAAAAAACACATTCCCAGTCAGACTTGGCTTTCTCTACTTGTGTAAAGGGTGATTGTTCACCAGTTGCATCTAATTATTTTTTGATGAATGGCTTTATAAAACGCTAAATTAATGTACAGTTAACACTATTGTCAATGTGATGAATGCCCATTTTAACCTGTAACGTTAAAAGTTGTCCAATTCAAGATGCAACTGAATCAACGGCGTTGACACAACAACTGTCATCGGGCTTCTCAATTGTGAGAAATACAAGGCTTCTCAAGCTGAACTTAAAATGAAAGCCTTTAAAAAATAAAAGTAAACTCACATCTGACGTTTTTGGAGCGATTTAAGGTTGTACCTTAACGTTACGTTATGCTAGCTTTACGGGAAGCTAACAAACTGGGCCATACAACCACCTAAGACTTAACACAAACAATCTCATTAATAACGGTAACGGTTAGTTACACTGCTATATTAACTTATAAAGACAGCCATCGTTTTATACCTAATACATAGTGTATATGTTTCATAAAAGCACCCTCTTGATATGCGACCAATGTGGCTAATAATGACTCGCTGACAGCAACGTTACCTGCATATGAAGGTGAGTTAGCCTGTTAGCTTCTGCCGCTGACGCAGGTTAGCTGCGATGGCTAAATGATAACTAGCAAGACAAGGCAGAGCTAAGTCTCCAAAACAAACACAGGATTATCTTTGCCCTATACTGCAAATGAACACATTTTTAAACGCGCTTCTGGCCGATATCCTACCTTTTCACACAATTTTAAATCGCCATATCCTGGCATTACTTTTAACACCAGCTACGTTAAGCTAGCCTTAGCTGTTTTGGTCCTTATGATGAGGTGATCAGCTGATATGACGAATAGGCGGCACCTTGACAGTTAAAGCAAAACAGTGCACTTAGGACAACTTAACCTCACCATGGATGTTAATCTAAATGATGGTCTGATCATGCATTTAACTCTACGGCCGAAATGTGAATTGTTTTTTTAAAGCACATGCATATAGGCATACGTAATGTTAAACAGAGCAAGTATTGCACTATAGTGCAAATATTGCACTTTAACCCCCACATGGCATTTTAACATTCATTCATTCAAAAATACCAACACTTGTTACAGGGCTCTCAAGTCTCACGCATTCACCGTGAGACACACGCATTTCAGCCAGTTCACACTCTCACACGCCGAGCAGTAAGTTAAGCGATAACATCCTCGAACTTGTTAATTAATGGACGATCATGTCTGTAGCCTACTAAATGCCGGAGCCGTTTAGCCGATCAGAAATTAAAATGTGATGTTTCCGGGTAAACTCCGTGATCCCGCTGCAAGCACGTTCGTTACCAGGCAACATGGACGCGCGTGCACCATGGTGTGCACACACGGAGTGGAAGTTGGACGCGTCCAACTTTTTTTTTTTACCATTTTGATTTTACCATTGCTGGACAAAATTACTTGTCCGTGATCAAAGATAGTGAGAGCGGCTGATGTTGGCGAGTACGGCCAAATGCATTCTAAATTATTACGGATGCAGTGAAAAACTCTCCAACCTCTTTGCAACCTGAAGCTTAGGTTTGATTATCCAGTAGCGAGCAAAGTAACTTAGGCCCATTCAGACCCTTTAAGAAAATTATAAGTACCAATATTTCACTGTAAAAACGCTCTGCAAGTACTGCATTGAAAAAGTAAGTTGGCTATAAGCAGGAAAACGTATAAGTAATTCAATTGCCAATTAAAGATAAAAGTATGGCCAACTCAAAACAGAAAGAAAAATTTCTCGTATGACCATTATATATATTTCGTTAGATTATTATTCCTCATGCATTAATGTAGTTGGTTGAGGTTGAACTATTTTGTATCAGACTGCAATTAATTATTTCCCTTTGAGATGTGGTGAAGTAGAAGTAGAAAGTCGCATGAAAAGAAAATACTCAAGTTCAGTACAAATACATTGTGTACTTAAGTACCCACCACTGGGCTTAGCTTTGGCTACCTGAAACTAAGGAAAGGACTAGAGATATTTTTCTCTATTTTGGCTCTGGACGGAAAGCTATCATCCATCATGATGGTGAAAATGGCTGGCCTTGAGCCATAGTGCTGTAAGTGGGAGCCCCCTACCGCTGTCATCAAGGCATTTAAATGTGCAACAAACAATTACAACACAAAACACCATTCATAAGCTTGGTATACATGCGTAGGTTCTGCCATCCTACTGTAGGCCTATGTGTACAGCAGTTCATTGGGCTCATTTGGGGCCAAATTTCTTTTTAGTTTTGATACATTTGTATTTTTGAAATACAAGTTTATATATAAATAGTCTTATCAGATTTACCTATTGCTCTAATTTCTATTTGTTCAGGTCAGTTATTAACTACAGGTAAAATCTAACTGCTAGTAAAACCTTGAGAGAATTGGCTGGGGCCGAGGGTCCGCTGCTACAAATAAATGAGTGGCGCGTTACACGCGTTATCTCACTCCAAACGTTTAATAAAACTTGAGAGCCCTGTTGTTAGAACTGGAAAGTTCTTTACTGAAAGGAGCGCACATTTGTCAATATTTTGAAGGTTGCTACAACATTTACATTTGTGCATAGAGGGTACAATTAAAGTGAATTTGAGAAACAGAAGACAAACATTTTCTTTACAAGACAGAAATAGGAACAAAGATGTAAGGAAAGACAAACATGTATACCAATATTCATTCAAGGTTCCAGTTAACCAGAGTGACTTCGACACTGCGCTCTCTGACATTCATAACTGCATACAAATGTCCATACATCAGTCAAGCTCACAAATTGACAGTAAAAAACAAAACTGAGTTGCACCCATCAGGGGTGTCGAGAGGACGTGGCAGACTTTTGAGCCAGGGTCAAATGAAAATCCAAATACCTTTCAGCAATAAACGTGTATTTAACTTTCTAACAGGACAAATTTAGGCTAAGAAGCAGTTTTCATGGAAAGGCTGTTCAAAGACCAGACTTTATCCGAACGTGGCACTACTATCATGATTGGACACGTTACAAATTTTTGTATTCTGGTAAAATAAAAGGACTTTAACTTCCAGACGTGATTATCTGCTCAGTTACAACACAGAGCCTGACCTCAGCTCTGCATCTACAAATGTATAATGGGCACATGGAATTTTTATACCTAAAAATACTGAACCATCATTGACACTTTTTTTTTTAGAAGTTAAGGGGGACACAGCTGAGGTACACAGGATAATCAAATAGTATCCAATAACAAAATATATTACTGGATACAACCGCTGCCTCATCTGCCAGTCTCCACTTCTCTCAACTCTTTCTCTCAGGCACATCAGACTCTCCAGGTGTAAGGCACTTCTCATCTCTCGCATCATTTCACACGCACATTCGCGCTAGCTCTCTCTTTCTCTCAGTCTTGCGCCCTGTCTCACACTCATTCACCGAAGAGGCGTTTTTGAGTTAGGTTCTCTGGGATCTTTGGATGCAGCGATGACTGGTCATCTTCAGGCGATTGTCCAGCCAAGAGGTGCACGTTTTGATCCCCCCCAGCGCAGAGTCCTGTCAGCCAGGGGTCGAGCCGGCCAGAGCCTCCTGCATCTTAGTGCGGGCCAGAGCGTACCGCTGCACTATCTGCTTGACGTGTTCCTCCTCTTCACGCTGCAGAATGCGCAAGAAGTTCTTTAACTCGGGCATGGAGAAGGCATGCCACTGTAAGGAGAGAAAAAACACATTAGTGTATGTACATTATATAAACTAGCCCTGTTTGTGGGATTGAACGCACTGTTTGGATCCCTTATCCTGGTGTTCATGTTACACTCACATTAACTTCTCCAGTTTCATTCTCCTTCAGAACAAAACTGAGGACTTTCTCATTGGGCCCAGCACACAGACGCAGACGGAGGGGACGCTCATCATCAGACAGTTTGCGAACGTAAACTGAAGGAGGCAGACAAAAAGACCCAATTTAGTATACAGCATTCAAATTTAGATTAAAAAAAAGGAGTTCGGAGTGTAAACATAATGAAAAAGGAATTATACCTTGGTCATGACGCTCGCTGCGCTCAAACAGAGCAAACTTGCCAGGATTGTCCACGACAGTAAACTTTTTCAACAGAGCCTCGATGACCTCGCGAGCAGAAGTGCGGGAGCTAATGTGCAGGTGCTTGGATGCATCCTTTGGCAGGTAGAAAGAGGTGCGGCGCTTCACTCCGCTGGCCCTCCTCCCTCCAGCATCGTGACTTCCTTTCTTTGAAGGTGTAACTGACACGGGTCGTGCCAACTTAAACTGCACCTTTACGAAGCCGGTGTAGGAACTATCCTTGTTCTGTTGAGGAAAAACAAAAATGTTACACTGATGGAACAAACACCTGCTCATTAAACTGCATGGATTTGTTGTGAATAAACCCTACTCACCATGTTCATGAACAGATTGCTGTTGATTTGAGCATTGTATTCTTTCACCTTCTGCTGAATATCTGCTGTTGTCAACTCCTGCTTTCCCAGTTCAATTTGTTCATCCTGGAGGGGACAGTGAGGAGTTAGTGTTAAACCACCAGGTGTCAGTGCTCCCCTTCAAACCACAACAGGAACAAGTGAAACCCCAGCACAACACACACACACACACACACACACACACAATACAGCAGTACGGAAACGGCCATGGGTTGTGACATAAAAAATCTCATGTTCTGTTGTTATTATTACAGACGTTATGGATAGCTTTTTTTAACAAAAGTGATTATGACCCTTTTTAGTAAGTGCAGTTCACAAGGGCCAGACTTTTACATGGGAACAAACATCTTTATAACACGCTGTTGTTGCTGTATGAAAACATTGTATATCTCAAAACAAGCTTTTCAGGAATTAAGAACGGGTGTTTTTCTTGCATGAACCCAGCGTCATGAAATAAATTTGTGTAAAAGCAACAGTGATGTGATCCAAAGTTTATTTGACGTTATCTTCCAACAATACTGCTTAATGTTAGTAAGAGGATTACAAACTCCCACACTTCAGTAAAGGGGTTGACAATTAACTTTCTGCTAGGCAACATTATTTCTAACAGCGAACACCAGTTGCATCAGACTCAACTTCCTGACAACGCAGCAAAGCAGCAAAGGCGGAAACGATGCCGTCAGCTCTGCCCAATCCTGTTTGACTGCCTCCATCCCTCTGTGAAGGAGGGGTAAAGGGAGGAGGGAGGATGAGGAAGGGGGGTGTATGTGCAACTTGCAGCTGTTTGCAGTGACTGCGACCAACCGTTCAGCATTGCATTCCTCAACATGGTATTCATGTATAAATAGCCTCCCCTCTCAGGCTCTCCGAAGTGGGAGAGACAATGCCCTCCCTTGTTTTGCAGGCACATCCTGTGAAGTCAGCTGCCTCATCAACCGCACGCTCCCAGTCATGTTTCAGTCATGCACATTTGGCTATCTTTGATCACCTCCAGCATCTGCATGACTGTTAGCTTAATTAGGGCTTTTTTCCTGCGTCTACAGACCAATTGGCACTTCCTAGACAGAAAATTCAACAGAACAAATTTATTTCCCTATACTGTGCGCCAGCTAATACCTTGAGGTGGGAAGAGGGGGTTTCCTGAGGAGTATAATCCAGATATCAATCTCCTTACAGTCCTAAGGATGTTGCTAACATCTAGATTGGTACTTACACAGATTTCTACACTATTATGAACAAGCATTTTAGCAGAAAAAAAGCAGAAGAAGGGTGAAGATGTATACTCTATCTAGCCTCCACCTATTGTGATGAACGTTGCAAGCATTGAAAGGGCTGGCTATCTTACAAATTGATGTAGCAGAACTAGATCAATAGTAGCAATCGATAAGCAGATACAGGCTGACTACAGAGTTAATAGCCTGTTGTTAACAAGTCTTTAAATCAATACAAGGGCCAAGTTGAGCTTTCCAATATGGTTAACAGTAGGGGGATAAAAATATGTAACAACTGCGTCTCTATATGTCCACTATGTGTCACATCAAAAACAGTGTTGAAATTGCAAACAACATTAACTGCCTCTGCACAGGGACAGAAAATGGTGAATGTGAATGAGTTTTACAGTAAGCTGCGTCTGTTTCTCAATAAACAAAGCAGATAACTTTACGCAAGTGGGTGTGGGTG